CACTCCCGGGTATAGATGAGATTGCATCCTAACAGGATAAGCCGAGGTGTGTTTACTCAGATGTAGGTGCCGTGTTTTTCAGTGGGGCTTACTTCCAGCTCAGTATATCTGGGACCGTACCCTTAAATTTTTTCCCTTTGGTGTGTGCCGTGCCATGAGACGGAGGGAGACCGTCTTGAGCTTCTGCAAAATTGATCCTCTGCGGCTCTTAATAGTGTGCTGAGTTCTGAAGCAACTGCAAAGGGGATAGAGATCAGCAGAGGCTGACTTGAAAGGGTTGATCATGCCCTAATAGCTCGTGGAAAACAAAGGCACGTTTTAAATAAGAATATAAGAAAACAGAAAGCCCACTCCGCCCACCCCGGATTTGTGTAGAAGAGAAAATCTCAGACTGTAACTTTAGCAAGTAAACCGAAGAAGGAAATTCCGCAGATGTGAAGCATGCGTCTTTGAAACTCAGGCGTTTAAAAAGTGCTTCGGCTCTGCTGTTAATGATGCTATTGTTAGGAGAAGGGAGCGTTGGGAAGACTTTGCGGGAGTCAAAACAGGAAGAGCCATTTAAAGGGACTGATTATATCTGCCTGCTTATAGCTGGAGTTTCAGAGGCCCAGCAGGATTAGCAGCATTTCAGAGAGAAGCCGAGGGAGGAGGTCACGGCTGGAGCACCTGGTCGTCATCACGGGCATTTCCCTGGGCACCTGGTGGCAGGCCAAGGCACAAGGACCGAGAAATCAGGCGGCAGACGAGCAAGGCCAGGGAATGCAAACATGGGCTGCCTGCTTTCGGGGAATACTGTCGGCAGAGGGAGGGGCAAGGAGAAGCGAGGGCCCGACAAAAAGCCGAGCTGGGTTCAGGCACAGACAAGGCAGCTTTCTCACAGGTTTCTGGCAGTCTGTGGCTGCCTTTGTTTTGGAAGGGGCTCCTGGAAGGCTGAGGCGGCTTGACACCCACTTAGAGGGAGTCCAGTGCTCCCTCTAAGCTGTGGAGTCTTGTGAGCAAAAATCCTACTTTGTGAGCTGCCGGCATTAAACTGGCCTCGTCTCACAACTTCTGAGATAGGGACTCTGGGACAAGTGATGCTCTGTCATCTTGGTGCTTGGGGGGTCAACAGTAGGAGGGCTTCTAGTGTCCTGCCCCCACTGGTGGATGGACCTCCTGATGGCACCTGGTATTTCTGGCCACTGTGTGACACAGAGTGTTGGACTGGATGGGCCTTTGGCCTGATCCAACATTGGCGTCTCTTATGTTCTTATGAGTCTCCCAAGTGCTTCCTGCACTTCACATGGGAGTTTCATATGGCTGCTACCGGTCGCTCTGTTTTCTTCTTCTAACTCCTGCCTCCGCTGTGGCAGGGGATCCCTGTCCACCTGTTTTTCCCCCCACTTTCCTTCCAGCCATCTTGGATGGGCATCCATAGTTCTCCTTACCCTCATGTTGGCCTCACAACAACCCTGTGAGGTACGGCAGGCCAATGGACGGTGACCTGGTGAGCTTTACTTCACTGGAAATGTGAACTCAGAGCTCCCACTAACCACAATCCGCAACGCTGGCTATCTTTCCAGTTTCTCAGACTGGTCTAGCCCGCTGAGGAACTCCTGAGGCAAAGTCCCTGAACACGGCAGAAGATTCAGGACAGCAGACTTTGTTTGCTTGGGATACCAACCAAGCCTGGCCCAACCACGAACCTGAATCATCTAGAGGTGCCCCTAACAAGGCACGCTTATTGTTAAGCCTGGCCGAGGAGGATCAGTAGCAGCAGACAAAGTTCCTAAGGGACAGCTTTCTGGCAGTCACGGATCTCCCCGCTGATGAACCCAGGACTTCCTGGGGAGACACTATCAAAACCAGTGACCCGAAGACTCTCTTCATGGCCCTCCAGGGCTATGGGCACTCAACAGTGTGAAAGCACAGAAACTGGTATTTTTGAGATCAGGAAGCCACAATGCTCCCTCTAAGCTGTGGAGTCTTGTGAGCAAAAACTCTCCTTTGTGAGCAACCGGCATTAAAGTTGTTAGTGGGTGATTTGGCTACTGCATAAATTAGTTTGCTCTGGAGCCCTCCTTCCTGGGCCAAGACAAAAACGCGTGAGCCGAAGGCTAGACAACTGTGAGCTAGCTCACACTAACTCAGCTTAGAGGGAACACTGCGGGGGAGACCCATACATTGAGACCCATACATTGTGAATGACAACACGGTGATGATGCCTGTTCCTTGCTGCTGCCCGGATCAAGTGTGGGGAAAAAGCACAGCCCAGCTTTCTGTTCACTGTATCCACCAGTGGACTGTCAATGAAAGGAGTAGTCCCTCGTGTATATTTAGGCACCCGGGCAGTGATTTAAGAGGATGCTTTGAGCCACTTGTTGGGCTCCTGGTGGGACAAAGACGAGGGGTTGCAACGGAGCCAGTTTGGTATAGTGGTTAGGTGTGCAGACTCTAATTTGGGAGAACCGGGTTTGATTCCCCAACTCCTCCACTCGCAGCTGCTGGGTGACCTTGGGCAAGCCGTAGTTCTCTCAGAGCTGTTCTTGAAAAAGAGCCATTTCTGCCAGAGCTCTCTCAGCCCCACCCACCTCACAGGGTGTCTGTTGTGGGGAGGGGAAGGGGAAGGAGTTTGTAAGCCGCTCTGAGTCACCTTTGGGTAGTGAAGGGCGGGGTATAAATCCAATCTCTTATTATCTTCTTCTTTTGATACTGGCCGTGTTCCTGTGCCCTTAACATTATCCAAGGAAGCGGGAACTGTTTCTTGATACGGCAGCCATGTGGCTGGGAAAGTTGCATCTGCTTAAATGCTTGCTATTGATAGGGAACAGGCCAAGATAGTGCTGAAACGGAGAATAATGAACACAGAGAGACAGCTTGACCTAGCCAGGTGCCCAGCCTGTATAATGTCCGAGCAAAGCAGGTACCGACTTCTCCCTCCTCGTTACCTTTCCAACTTCGATGATCACAAGATGAGAAAAGCTTTTACTTTAGCTAGATGCTCGGCTCTTCCCTCGGCTGTCCTCGAGGGGAGATACAGGAAGATACCTCTCGACCAGAGACTTTGTCAATGTGATTTGGGAGAAGTCGAAACTATTAAATATAAGCTTCTCAGGTGCCCATAGTACACGTTGGTTCAGGCCAAATATATCTTACCTTTGGTAAAGGAAATGCCTGACCTGATGGACTTTGATTATATCAATTACTTATTGTCAGATGATAAACAGACCATCACCAAACCTGTAGCTAAATTCTGTGCAGCTTGTTACTATATCTGCAAAGAAAAGATTATTTAACACAGGGGTGTTGAACTCATTTGTTACGAGGGCCAGATCTGACATAAATGAGACCTTGTTGGGCCGGGCCATGTGTGTCATAAAATGTAATGCCAGGTAGTGGAGAGATAAACTTTATAAAGGACACAAACACAAAGGTTTTTTTTAAACTTAAAAACGTGCTTAAATTATTAGCACTCTCTGCAATATTTTGTTAATTTTACAGTGTCTGATAACTGACACCTCTTACTCTCAATAATAGCATCAAAATGTCTGTGCTGTTGCAATCTTGAGTATGCTGTTCAGGTGTGCATCTGTAAGCTGCAAACCTACGATGACGCAGCAGCAGCAGAACTGGAAACAGCAGCAGAAGACAGCCAGTTCCACTGCGGGCCTGATAGAAGCCCTCCAGCCCCTGGGCTGCATGTTTGACACCCCTGATTTAACCCCTGAAATCTTTTAGACCATGGTTTTTATATTTGTATTTTAACAAATTGTTTATATTGGTTTCGTATGATGTTACTGATTTGCTGGCTTGATGCCGTAACAAATAAAGAAATACTCTACGTTGGACTGCTGTTAAGGTATAGAAGGGCCAGTAAGAACAGTAGCAGCCCCAAGAAGGTTACAGGCCTAGATGCTGAGAACTGGCTAAACATATTATATTAGACTTCAAATAATAGTACAGGGAACCATGGTTTGTTAAAAAACGAATAAAAATACATGAACATTCAAAAGTCATACAGGCTGTATTATTAGAATGTCAGCAAAACGAGTTCGTCTTATTGCTATACATATAATAATTCCCTGAGCATTAGTAAAAATGAACTTCACATGTTACAGTTTTTTTTTAAGATGGCTTGAATTTGGAGCAAGCGAAACGAAAAAGCTGTAAACATATGCTAAAGACTTTCTTTTGAATGTATAAATATTCAGTGATACAGTTATAAAGACAAGAACATGTACAAAGTGCAGAAGGAGGTCTAAAACACATATGTTGTTGACGAAGTTCTCCGGATTGTCGAGTCGTTTCGAAAAAGCTTCATCCGAACAGGACCTTATATGACTGTTGCATATCTTCTATTTTGTAGACCATTGAATAAAGTGCCAGAAATTCTAGTACATGGAAGAGTATCCTCACTGGTCATATAGATGCATGATGCATTTACAAGTGGGCCATCTGGATAAGAAGATGTACATGTTCTTGTCTTTATAATTGTATCACTGAATATCTTATACATTCAATAGATGGTCTTTAGCGCATGTTTACAGCTTTTTCGTTTCGCTTGGTTCGGATCATTTGAGCTGTAGTTCTCTATTCTGTTGACTTTGGAGCAAACATGCCTCTGGCAGCTCACCCATCCCCTTCATTGAAGAAACTGGCTCTGCAAATGGGAATTTCTCTTCCCTGGAGGCAGCTATATTATTTGTAGTTTTCTGTAAAAGAAAGATTGATCTCCTTGGGCTATTTGTTTGATTTTGATCCTGTTCGTTTCCCGAGTTCCTTCCCCCGTCGCCCGTTTTTGACCTCGCACAAACCCTATGAAAGAGATTGGGCTGGGTCAGAGAAGGTGAGCGGGCTCAGGGTCATCCACTGACCCCCTCGTCCTCCGATTCCCATTTTTTACCTTTAAGGTAGGGGGCGGGAGGCAAAGGAAACATAACGGGTCTGTCTGTCGTAGAAAAACAGGTTCTGCCCCTCACTCATACAGCTTCCCCCCCCCTCTGTCTTGCAATTCAGGTGGAGAGACTCATGGACCTCCCCCTCTTCCTCTGATGCCATCTGACTGCCTCCCCTTCCCAGGAGTGAGAGCCCATCCTCGTCTTTCACGTTCCTTCCCGAAGCCAAGAGATGGAGCCCCCCGAGGTGACCATCATCGAAGGTGTGGGGGACGAGGTGACGGTGGTGGCTGGCATGGTCATCCTCATCACAGCCCTGGTCCTCTCGTGGCTTTCCACATACGTCGCGGATGGTGGCAATCCTCTTCTGGGGGCGGTCGTGGCCGCTGGAGACTCGTCGGTGATCCACCTGAGCCCCATCGACCACTACGTGGGGAATTCCGTGGTCTCTGAACACTCCGAGCCCCAGGGCGCCACGGAAGGTGCGGAAGAGAAGGCGGAAGAGGGCTCGGCCCCTGACTCAGGCCCTGCCGTCGAGCAAGGGGACAGCAGCGGTGGCTCGGACGCAACCCTAGACCGCCTGCTGGACATTCAGGGCCTCCCCCAAAGGACCTTTCCTAGCGTGGCCGTCTCCCCGGAGCATCAGGGCTCTCCCCAAACAGCACCTGTCCCGGAGGAGAGCGAATCTGATTCAGGGTTTATCAAAGTGCGCCTCAAATTCCTCAACGATACGGAGGAGGTGGCCACGGTGAGGCCGGAGGACACTGTTGGCATCCTCAAGAGGTGAGTGTTGTTGTCTCCGAAAACACGTGCACGCGTACACACACGCACATTCGCTTGTTACCTGAAGAGCTGTTCCGTAACCACTCCTCACCCTGACAAAGAGAACCAAGGGCAGCCGCGGAAATCAGTGCCACGTGCACCGATGAACAGCGACTAGCGTACGAGCTTGTCGCTGCAGCTAGAAGCCAGCGTTCCCCTGTTGCGAGACAGTGGTTGGTTCATAATGTGGTTGCATTTCAGAGGGCTCAGAGCACTTCCTGAGGAAGGGAGCTTTGACTCTGAAAGGTCATCACCCCCAAAATCTTGTTGGTCCCTAAGCTGCCACTGGACATCTAGCAGAGCACTTCCTGCACATGATTTCATCAGTCTTTGGAAAAGCTGTGCAAGTTAAGTCTTGCGGCTGGTGGGCACTCAGGTCTGAGATGATGAAATTGGGGATTCCCCGGGCCGAGGATGATAACTTTTAGCCACTACCACAACTCAGCTGCTGCACCCTGCCATTGGATCAATCTGTTGGATCAGGGCAATAGGTTCACCCAAGGAATCTGATGGGCAGTAGGCTCAGGATGGATGAAAGGAAATACTACTTTACACAGAGTGATTCAAACGTGGAATTCGCTGCCAGAGGATGTAGTGATGGCCACAGGAATAAACAGCTTGAAAAGGGGATTAGACAGATTCATGGAGGGTAACTCTATCAGTGGCTACTAGCCATGGTGGCTGAGGGGAACCGCCACATTCCCAGAGCCAAGAGGCAACATCAGGGGAAGGCCTGGGCCTCCATGCCCTGTTGTTGGCCCTCCAGAGGAACTGGCTGGCCCCTGTGTGACACAAGATGCAGGAGTAGATGGACTGTTGGTCTGATCCAGCAGGGTTCTTCTTACATTCTTATCAGGGAAGGCCTCGGCCTCCATGCCCTGTTGTTGGCCCTCCAGAGGAACTGGCTGGCCCCTGTGTGACACAAGATGCAGGAGTAGATGGACTGTTGGTCTGATCCAGCAGGGTTCTTCTTACATTCTTATCAGGGAAGGCCTCGGCCTCCATGCCCTGTTGTTGGCCCTCCAGAGGAACTGGCTGGCCCCTGTGTGACACAAGATGCAGGAGTAGATGGACTGTTGGTCTGATCCAGCAGGGTTCTTCTTACATTCTTATCAGGGAAGGCCTCGGCCTCCATGCCCTGTTGTTGACCATCCAGAAGAACTGGTTGGCCCCTGTGTGAGATGGGATGCTGGGCTGGGTGGACCCCTGGTCGTGATCCAGCGGGGCTCTTATGTTCAGAACTGGAAGAATCCTGCTAGCTGGTTGTCCCGGCTCCAAAAACCGTTGGCATGAATCCAAGAAAGGAAACAACTGGTTGTTGAATACGGAGTGCATATATAGCTTTTTTAAAAAAATACATGTTTCTTTCTGCACCTGAAAATTAACTGACTGAAGTAATAAATAGTGTTTTGGGGTTTTGTTTTGTTTTTAAAAAAGAAGAGTGAAGCAAAGATGGGCTAAGGCCAGGGCTGGGGCCTTCTTTCTCCCTGCCCCTTTGCAGTTGCCCTGGAGTGGAAAGCTGGCCCCCAAATCAGAGGGAGGACTCCTCTTGGTTAGCCAAGTGTTCCGAGGAGGCTGAGGGGCAGGAGTTTGCTGCTGCAGTAGGTGCTGGTGTGTGGGGGGGCTTGCTGACAGGCCCTGCACCTTTTGAGTGGCATGAGACTTGCAACCTGGGTTGGGCAGTCAGGGCCAGTGTGGCGTACCGGTGGACTAGGATCTGGGAGATCCAGGCCCAGGTTCAAATGTCCACTCCCCGTGGAAGCTTGCTGGGTGACCTTGGGCTAGTCACACCCTCTCTTATTATTATTTATTTTATTATTATTAGAAGAAGAGGAGATTGGATCTATACCCCGCCCTTCACTACCCAAAGGTGTCTCAGAGCGGCTTACAAACTCCTTCCCCTCCCCCTCCCCACAACAGACACCCTGTGAGGGAGGTGGAGCTGAGAGAGCTCTCTCGAGGACTGCTTATGAGAGAACAGCTCTGACAGAAGTTGTGACTGACCAGAGGTCACACCTACAGCTGCATGTGGAGGAAAAAGGAGGAGGAGGAGGAGATTGGATTTATACCCCGTCCTTCACTGCCCAAAGGAGTCTCAGAGCGGCTTACAGACTCCTTTCCCTTCCCCTCCCCACAACAGACACCCTGTGAGGGAGGTGGGGCTGAGAGAGCTCTTGACAGAAACGCCTCTTTTTCAAGAACAGCTCTTATCAGAACTACGGCTTGCCCAAGGTCATCCAGCAGGTGCAAGTGGAGGAGTGGGGAATCAAACCCGGTTCTCCCAGATTAGAGTCCGCGCACTTAACCACCACACCAAACTTAAGACTTGTAACCCGGCCTCCCCTAACGGGCTCAGGGCAGGTTCCAACGATGTAAATATAATACAGCCTACCTCGCAGGGTTGTCGTGAGCATAAAATCGAGGAGACAAGAATGCCGTAAGCCACTCTGGGTCCCTATCTGGTTCAAAGGTGGGGGCGTAGATGAAGAAATAAATGGGGCAGAGCCGCCTCCCGCAGCCTCCCCGGTGACATTGCCGTGGCGTCCTCCCAGTTCCCCCGCAGCTCACATGGCCCGTGGCAGCCACCGATCACAGGTGTCCGAAACCACCTGCACCCAAACGAGCTGTGTTGTCGCTCATCTGAAAACACCCCATCGGCACTCCACGCTGTGTAATCATCTCTCTTTTTTTTGTTCCCTTAACGAAGCAAATACTTTCCAGGCCAGGAAAGCCAGATGAAGTTTATCTACCAGGGCCAGCTTCTGCAGGACCAGGCCCGGACGCTCCGCTCCCTCAACATCCTGGACAACTGCGTCATCCACTGCCACCTCTCCCAGGCCGCCATCTCGGCCATCCCGGACGCGGCAGGGGCCCCCTCGGAGGCCGGAGGGGTGGCCCTGAACATGGGCAACCTGATGATCCCCGTCTTCGTGGTGATGCTGGCCATCATCTGGTACTTCCGCCTCAACTACCGCCAGCTGTTCACGGCCCCGGCCACCATCTCCTTAGTTGGGGTGACTGTCTTCTTCAGCTTCCTCGTTTTCGGGATGTACGGACGGTGAGCCGCCGGGGGGGAAATGCCTCGGCCAGCTCTTAAACTCGGACCCTCTTATTTTCGTACTTCTTCTCTCGTTTACCCTGCCAGTCATTGGGGGGTGGGGTGGGGTGGGGGGGGAGCTCTTATCCAGAATTCAGCGTTAACGGAAGACAGTGAGAGGAAGTAGCCCCTCGGACTTTTCAATTTAAAAACCACAGAAGTTCAGTAAACCTTTTCAAAGCTGTCCGGTTTGGGTGTTTTGGAAGACTGATGGGAAAAGGCAGGCAGAGGCGGGACGGCGATTAGGGCAGTCCCGGTTGGCTTGCTTTTGGGCTTCCCACCACCTACCCCAGGTATCAAACACCATCCCCAGCGACTTGAAAGCCTTGCCTAGATGTGTTTGGATTTCTCTCCTACCCTGGGGGGGGAACGTGGCTTCGTCTCACAGTGTTTTTTTCTAGCCACAGTTCTGAGGACCTGGAATTCACCTAGTATCCAGAAGTGTGTGTCAGAGAGCCTGATTGTGGCGTAGCCTGGCTTTTGCCACTCACATGTTTAGAGACCACCTTTGAGCCTCCCGCCAGAGGGAAGGGCTTCTAGCCAAGCATTTGCCTCTTCTTTTGCCGCTGCTTCAGAAAACATAGACTGAATGACCTTGGCACAGGCTATCCTGCTGCATTCTACTACAACCCATTATGTGAGTGTCACATAATGATTCCTCGCTCTCTCCCCGACAACAGCCGTGCAGCGCTAATGCCTCCAGCCCTTCCCTGGGGGTTGAGCAGAGAGTGCCTCCCCTATCCTCCCCTGTCCTTAGGCCACATTCTGAAGGTGCCCGGCCAGACCTTAACTGCGTGGACTCCGCACTCAGAACCGCGCTCTCGCTCTGCCCTCTCTGCAGTCCTACGCAAAGCCGAAGAGCAGCCATGCCACCACTTCCCGAGAGAGTTCTCAAAAACGTTGCTGACAGCTGGGACCGTTTGCACAGCATCCTGTTTGCTGTGTAGGACGATGCCAGCTGCAATTCGGGTCTACCTGTCCATTCCTCGTAATCAGGTTACATAGTTTGCATGAGTGGATGTCGTACCAGACAGTGGCCGAGGTCTTCCCCTTTGAGGAACAGCCTCCAGGGGGAGGGATTTGCTAAGAAGTTGTCCCTTTGCTGCCTGAAGTCCAGCTGGAACTGGGTGCAGGGATCAAGGTACTGCCTTAGGCATCACTGCAGAGTTCAGCAACTAAAAGGCAGTCTGGGGCTGAGCTCTTTGCAGCTCGGCACCCACGGAACGATCGATTCTTTAGCATCACGGCGGACTCCGGCATCATCTTAAGTCACGAGCCGGCCATCTTCCCCCTCCCCTCCCCACCCCTTCCCCCAATCTCTTAGATACAATCCAAGTCAAAATATTTTTCAAAAACCCTCTCTCTTTACTGGTGAGGAGGAGGACATTGAAGGAAGCCCCTGCTGGAGAGGCAGCAACCCAGAAAGTCCCACCTCGGGGCCACATGAGTTGAGGAAAAACTAACGACTAAATGCTGGCCGCCGCTTGAAAACTCGGGCGTTTTAAGTTTATCGAATGGAGGTATTCTGTAAACCTGTAATTAATACACAAGTGTCTGGAAAGTATTATAGCAAACATCTGTGCAGATTAAACTCACCCCTTTCCTCCCAACAGTTAGTTCCAATTGCATGTGAGGCGAAGAGGGGCTCCTTTAAACCGTTCTGCGGCAAGTCAGAACCTCCCGCAAGCCACCAGGCAGGCAGGCTTTTGCAGGTGGGAGCACCGCTTCTTTTCTCCTCCAGCGTGCCACAGATGACTTGACCAGCAGGCTGATATTTTGGTTTTCATTGGGGCAGAGGACAGGTGGGGAAAAGCACTAGCAGCTGTTTGACCTTTGCAAAGCAGGGTTAGTGGGCGGGGGTCTCCGTGTTCAGCACAGCTCCGTTCTTTGTGCGTGATGACTGGAAGCAAAGCAAAAAAGACGGTCGCCCCTATATGCCGTTCCCCTCCACACCCCTTTCTCAGTTCACACGGATGGCAGAGATGGCCTTTCCGCCCCACCTGGTGGGCTAGAACACCAGCCTCCAGCCCACAGGCCGGCAACCTTGGGTGTGTCCCAGAGAGCCCCTGTAAAGTGGCTGCCGTGGGGGAAAGACCCCCCTTGCGGAAAAGTGTGGGAAAGACCCCCTTGCTCATACTCATGCACAAAGCGTAAAGGTGCCATGTCCTTCGTACGTGAGCGGAGTATAGCAGGACAGCGAGTTGAGGCTGAGAAGATTTCACCTTGTCTTGCCCTTCACGGAGGCACACAACCTGGTTAAGTGCGCAGACTCTAATCTGGGAGAACCGGGTTTGATTCCCCACTCCTCCACTCGCAGCTGCTGGATGACCTTGTGCAAGCCACAGTTCTGGCACAGCTGTCCTT